TTGTTCCCTTTGTCATCGGTATGTTACTTGCCCGAGATTCGACGGTCGGTATCTCAATACCTAGTTCAATCTCATTACCGGCAAGTCTCTTTACTCGTTATGTAATGCATCATCCCGCAACTAACTTATTAGCTACATTTCTTGCAAGGCTTATAGTGATGTACATTACCGAGAGGGCCCAGAGATCCTCTCTGACAATTGGAGTGACAAATCATAGTCTCGAAACGCCAACTCAACATGTACCTTCAGAGACACCTGTAGAGCTCCTTTATAATCACCCAGTTACGTTGTGATGTTTGGTAGCACACAAATTGTTCCTCCGGTAAATGGGAGTTGCATAATCTCATAGTTGTAGGAACATGTATAAGTCATGAAGAAAACAATAACAACATACTAAACGATCAAGTGCTAAGCTAACGGAATGTGTCAAGTCAATCACATCATTCTCCTAATGATGTGATCCCATTAATCAAATGACAACTCATGTCTATGGTTAGGAAACACAACCATCTTTGATCAATGAGCTAGTCAAGTAGAGGCATACTAGTGACACTATGTTTGTCTATGTATTCACACATGTATTATGTTTTCGGTTAATACAATTTTAGCATGAATAACAAACATTTATCATGAGATAAGGAAATGAATAATAACTTTATTATTGCCTCTAGGGCATATTTCCTTCAGCAACCTATGCGTGAATGGAGATGATGGTGAGGCATCGCGTTGCGCTGACAACGAGGAAAGTAACTTGGCTGAAGGCATCGACAACGGGTGGCTATCGAGGAAAACAACGCGGTGATGGGGGAGGTGGGTGGCGAGGGATGATTGAGCGGTGAATGGCAGCCAAGGAGACGGAGCGGCGGCGAGATTGGACGAGCTTGCCTTCGGAGTGCATGTGATGCAAGATTTCCTTTCCGGGTTGACCGAGGGCCTCCTTGTGTGTTTATTATTTCTGGTTGAAGCAGTGAACTTCCAGGGTTAAAGCATTTTCTTTTGCCGAAGGGGAGGGTAGAAAACAAAAATAATCAGAGGGGGGATGGGGAGGTTTGTGGTGGGAGGGGGTGGAAACCCTCGAAGCGATGTTGGTAGGAGCATACTGTTCATTTGTTTACTGACATGTTCATAATGTGCATCCTTTTGTTATTGTATTTGGAAACACGTGTAATGTTTCCATATCTTGAAACTACGAATACTGATAAGTGCAAGCCATTCTCTTCTAGAAAATTTGGGAATTGGCTCACACACTATTAAATAATTTGATGCACTCTTTCTTATTTTAAATGGTCAGAAAGAACAAGTGAAGACTTCTATTTTGGATCGATTCCTTTATTGATAGTTTGATAACAATTTCTTAATGACTATTCAAACATATGAACGTTCTCCATAATTAGATTAAATCACTTCTGTAACCTGCAAATGTAGTAGATAAAATTATTCAGATTAAATCTAGAAGAATATATTGAGATTCTACCATGTATATACTTACAAACTAAAAGAGAATGTAATCAAATAATGATATATTTGTCTCTCCCATGGTAGCTATCCAGTACTAGCGCATGTGTAGAGGACTACAACTTCGCTACTGAACCACCATGAGGAGGCCACCGTGGAGACAAACTAGGTTGTCGTTTAAGTCAACAACCACCTATGACTAATGTACACATATTTTAGTTAAGCGGGCCTTTGTTTCAGTTGGATTTTCTCATATATACACGATGTATTTTTTCCTTCGCGTTTCTTGCAAGCACAGAAATATTATCTTTCTTGCCGGCGAATAATAAGAGAGAACAATACTGTTATTGTGCTATAGGCATCTTGTAAATAAGACATCTCTGATGACAAGTGAGGCACATTTCATTTTAAAATCAGAGATACAACACAGTATCATATTTCACGAACTGATAAGAGTTTTGAAGCTAAAATGATGGTAGAGCAAGCCTGAGAAGTGAGGAAGTCAAGGGTTGGAAGGGTTGCCTTGGTTGGTTTGTAAGGAGACATGATGATTGTCACAGATAAAAACAAAGTAGATAATGGTATGTGTCCCTATGTAAATGAAACCTTATGCCATCGTGAATGACATACATTTGGGTCTATAGTTTTGTTTATTCCATGGCAATGCACATGCATTAAGCATCATATAGCATGGTCAGCGACGAATAATTCAAGACTTGTAACTTCACTACCATTTCCAAATGCAAGTTTGCTGGGAAGTCAAAGTCATGCGCTAGATTGAGAGTGGAGGCATGCGACAGAGAGGAATGTTCTCTCAGGGTGGCATGACTGTCATGAGAGAATGTTTATTTAACTACCTTCGTTTTATATCCTTATTTACTCTATATATCAGCGCACCGTTATGTTACTGGAATTTGTATGCCCACATTATTATTTGGTAGAAATAAGTGGGTATACCACAATTAATTGGGAGAAGTTTAATGAATGAGTGTTTCTCTTTATGTTTCTTATGGGCATAAAAACATTATATTTGTTGAGGTTGAAGAATGAGGAGAGATAAACTTGCCATAAAACAACATGCATCTTTCATTAATCGCAAATAAGAAATTCAATACGCCATCATCTTCCAAGGTAGTGATAACCGTCTCATTTTCCAATCAGATATACAATACACCATCATCTCTCGGAGTATGTGAGGACTTTTTCATAGATCTGATAAAGTTTAGAAAAGATGCCAAGTAATGGTTGGGTGAGATGACACTTTGTCTTTTATATTTTTTAATATATGTTTATATGTTCACTTTTATAGGTTAGAGACAAAAAATATATGGCATAAAAAATGTTGATTGACAAAGTCATGGACGTACCTACGATCGAGTAGACTCAAAACTCATCGAGTTTTACACAATGAGATGCATATAGATAATTGTTATTACTTGTGTATATATATGTTGCACATGACAATACAAAAGGTGTACTTCTCTTTACTTTTGCAGAGTATAAGAACGGTAGAGATGGATTGTGTGGGTGTTCAGAAAGAATCCATCAATAAGGTCCCGAGGCAATGTCGTACAATCAGGAAAAAGCTAAAAGCCCGTGGCAACTCATGGGACTTCTACTAGTTAGTCTATGTTTAATCCTCCGTCCTTGATAGGAAGGCTCAAAATTTTTTTGCCAACGCTGCCGCGAGACTAGGGAGCTCCTATTGGGCATTTGCTATTTGGCGCTGCAGGCGCCCGTTAATGTGTATTTTGCAAACGGGCGCCTGCAGCGCCTCGCACTGGGCCGGCCCAAGTAGTTTTCAGTTCTCTGTGTTAAAGAGACAAAAAATCATGACTTATATGCGGGCTGCAGGATTCGAACTCGCGAAGCTGTGGTTCCATCGAACATGCAACAACCAACCGACAAGCTTCGCCTCTGTGAAATCGTCGATATTCTTTCTTGTTTGTTCTTTCCTCTTCCTTTTCTTTTCCTTTTTCGGTTCTTTTCCTGTCATTTTTCTTTTTCTTTTTGCTTTTTATTTTTTAAATAATGTGAGAAATATTCAGCAGATTTATAGGAACATTTCTTTTCAATTCGACGAACTTTTTTCAAAATCATTGAAATTATTTTCAAACTCGATGAACTCTTTTCTAATTCGATGAACTTTTATCGAAATCAATGAACTCTTTTCAAAATCTGATGAACTTTTTATCTAAAGCAATGAACTTTTTTCAAAATTCGTGAACTTTTATGAAAATTGATGAACTTTTTTTCAATTTTCTTGAACTATATTGAATTTTGTGAACTTTTCGATCTGTGAACTTTTCTCAAACTCATGAACATTTATGAAAATCGATGAACTTTTTTCAATTTTCTTGAACTATATTGAATTTCGTGAACTTTTTCGATCCGTAAACTTTTTTCAAACTCGTGAACTTTTTTAAATTCGCTAACTTTTCTGAAATTAGTGGACCTTTTCAAATTTATAAACTTTTTCTTGAACTAGTGAACTTTTTTCAATTTTCGTGAGCTTTTTTTTAATATCTGAACAAGTACTTTTTGAAACAATTTCGTGAACTTTTTTTAATCTGGGACCAGCGCGGCTGTAATTGTACTTAAATATCACGCAGTACCACTTGTAAGTTTTATGAGGTTGCCGTAGTGGTTAGTGAAGCGCGTGCAGGTTCCAGCGGCGCGAGTTCGAATCCCCAAAACAACAAACATTTTTCCTATGATTTTTTGCTGCTACTGCTTGTTCGTGGGCCGGCCCAGCCCGGGGCGTCGCAGGCGCCAGGAGCGCGAACGGGCGCCTGCAGCGCCGTATAGGAGCTCCCCTCCTATTGGGCACCACAGGCGCCAGAAGTCCATCAAAATTCATTGCTTTAGATAAAAAGTTCATCAATTTTCTAGACAGGTTCACAAAACTTGAAAATAGTTCATCAACATTGAAAAAAGTTCATGAATTTTTTTTAAAGTTCATCAAATTTGAAAACAAGTTCTTGAATTTTTTTAGGAAAGTTCACAAAAATAAAAAACAGTTCATGGATTTTTAAAAAAATGTCCGTTGATTGTGAAGAAAAATTTCATCGGTTTACAATCACGCATTTAAGATAAAAAAATAAAAACAAAAAGAAACAGAAAAACAGAAAAAGGAAAAGAAAAAAAAGAAAGAAAATGCGAACTGAAATAATAAGAAGGACGCAAGAAGTTATCGTGCATATCGTGCTGGTTAGCACGGTGCGCTGTGAACGTGTAGGTCCTGGGTTCGATTCGGCGCAGCTCTCTATTTTTTGCACTTTATGAAGAGACGTAGCGAAACGCTAAATGGGCCGGCCCATCTCGCGGTGGACTGTAGGCGCCAGTTTGCGAAATGGCCTGTAACGGGCGCCTGCAAACACCGCGAGCCTATGGCTCCCTATTAATATCTGGTTCCCCTTCCTCCGTCCCCTCCCAACCGCTCTCCATCCCGCACCCTTCCAGACCTAGGGTTTCCCGTCCTCTCCCGCCCCTCTTCCCAATGCCGCCATCTTCTCCTACGTCGCCGCCGGGCCGTCCAAGCCACCATGTTTGAGCTGACGATGGCGAAGGGAAGCATCTTACAGGGTGTCCTGGAGGCGATCCTCGACCTGGTCAATGTGGCCAACGTCGACTGCTCCAGCAAGGGCTTCTCGCTCCAGGCCCTGGACATCGAACACGTCGTCTTCCTCTCGCTCTTCTTCCCCTCCGAGGTCTTCCGGTCCTACCGCTGCGACGAAGACTGCTCCATGCGCATCGCAATCGCCGACATGGTCGATTTGCTCCGCGCCTCCAACGATGGTGACATCATCACCATCAAGGTCACCGACCAAAACTTCGAAGACATTACCATAACATTCGAGTCGCCCGGTAAGTGCCCGCACGTCTTTTGCGATAGCTGCTCTTCGCCCTGACCCTGTGCTGATTTTGTGTTTGTGGAAATGAACAGACAAGACTAAAACTACGGATATGGATTTGCAGCTTGTGGACGCCAGAAGCCATCGCCTCAAAATCTCGGAATGGCACGATATGGAGTCGGAGTACCAGGCCATTTTCTGCATGCCCTCTGCGCAGTTTATGTTGAACTGCAAGTCCCTCAGCGTCATCGACGACGATGGTACATAGATTTACCTGGTGATTTATAAGGCTAACTGTTACTGTTGCGCATGGAGGATTCTAGTTATGTACCTTGAACCATTTCCATCTCCTGCTGTAGTTGTCATCAGGGTGAATGAGGAGGTCATCAGCTTCTCTACTAAAGGAAAAAGTGGGTGCGTGAACATTTCCCATGTGCCGAACAAAACTGACAAGGTACTTAATAGTTTGACCCTCTTAGCCCCTCAAATTGGAATGGATATCCTCCTCCTCTGAATATCTGTATGTGACTGTAACATGAAATGCAGTGAACAACCATATCAATGATTTGTTGGTAGATTCTTAGCAAGTGTGCATTCTTGGTTCCTCACCTAGGTTATAGGCACCAGAGTAGCCGAACATGCATACATAGTGCCTTAGAATTTCATTGTCTCACTATGCTGTGTTGAGTTCCTAATTCACTTTGTTTGTTAATGTTGGTTTCTGTGTTTGGAGTATGTTTAGTCTGCATAACTTGCAAGTTAATTTGTCTAGAGCAGAAGCTACATATATTTCATAAAGGGGAACATGGCTCTTCATTTGGTTGATTACATTGGTATTGGTAAAGGGGTTGAATTAGATGTTTGTTTTTTAGTTAGCTTATTATTTCCTCCTTTAACTGTAAAATCTTGGTGACGTGGTTAACTACTCTGCAGTGCAAATTAACATCTGTTTATTCTATAAATTTCAATTGGTTCTATCATATGGAGTAACATCTTTAGTATATTGTGCCATTCAATTAGTATTTTAAGAAAATACTGAAGAATAGATCCGTCTATGCGTATCTGCACTAGTTAATGGGTCATGTTTGTATCAATGCAGCCAGAAAAAGCTAGTGTTACCCTTACACATGTGCGAGGGATAGTTTCATTGACCTTGAACCTGAGGTACATGAAGTCCTGCGCCAAGGTGTCTACCCTGTGTGATCAAGTGAATATCGGTCTCTCCCCCCTGTGTGATCAAGTGAATATCGGTCTCTCCCCCATGGAACCTTGGTCGAGTACAAAATTGCAGAGAAGGGCTACATCAGATATTTCGTGGCACCAAAGATAACAGAGGAAGAGGAAGGGAAAACAGAGACCGAAGAGGCAGAGGGAGAGGAAGGGAGGCAAAGGAAGAAAGCAAAAAAAATGGTCAAGTACAAAATTGCAGAGAAGGGCTACATCAGATATTTCATGGCACCAAAGATAACAGAGGTAGAGGAAGGGAAAACAGAGACCGAAGAGGCAGAGGGAGAGGAAGGGAGGCAAAGGAAGAAAGCAAAAAAAAGATGAAACGGGAAGCATCTTTAGTACCATGTTGGAGCTGCGGATGGCGAAGGCGAAGGGAGGCATCTTCGAGGATGTCCTGGAGGCGATCCTCGACCTGGTCAATGTGGCCAACGTCAACTGCTCCAGCAAGGGCTTCTCGCTCCAGGCCCTGGACACCGAACAGGTCGTCATCCTCTCGCTCTTCTCCCCCCCCCCGAGGTCTTCCAGTTCTACCGCTGCGACAAACACCGCTCCATGTGCATCGCAATCGCCGACATAGTCAATTTCCTCCGCGCCTCCAAAGATGGTGACATCATCACCATCAAGGTCACCGACCAAAACTTTGAAGACATTACCATAACATTCGTGTCGCCCGGTAAGTGCCAACACGTCTTTTGTGATAGCTGCTCTTCGCCCTGACCCTGTGCTGATTTTGTGTTTGTGGAAATGAACAGACAAGACTAAAACTACGGCTATGGATTTGCGGCTTGTGGATGACAGAAGCCATCACCTCAAAATCCCGGATTGGCACAATATGGAGTCAGAGTACCAGGCCATTTTCTGCATGCCCTCTAAGGAGTTTATGTTGAACTGCAAGTCCCTCAGCGTCATCAACGACGATGGTACATAGATTTACCTGGCAATTTATATGGCTAACTGTTACTGTTGCGCATGGAGGATTCTAGTTATGTACCTTGAACCATTTCCATCTCCTGCTGTAGTTGTCATCACGGTGGATGAGAAGGTCATCAGCTTCTTTACTTCACGAAAAAGAAGGTGCATGAACATTTCCCATGTGCCGAACAAAACTGACAAGGTACTTAATAGTTTGACCCTCTTAGCCCCTCAAATTGGAATGGATACCCTCCTCCACGGAATATCTGTATGTGACTGTAACATGAAATGCAGTGAACAACCATATCAGTGATGTGTTGTAGATTCTTAGCAAGTGTGCATTCTTGGTTCCTCACCTAGGTTATAGGCACCAGAGTAGCCAAACATGCATACATAGTGCCTTAGAATTTCGTTGTCTCACTATACTGTGTTGAGTTCCTAATTCACTTTGTTTGTTAATGTTGGTTTCTGTGTTTGGAGTATGTTTAGTCTGCATAACTTGCAAGTTAATTTGTCTAGAGCAGAAGCTACATATATTTCATAAAGCGGAACATGGCTCTTCAAGCGGTAAATGGGGTTGAATTAGATGTTTGTTTTTTAGTTAGCTTATTATTTCCTCCTTTAACTGTAAAATCTTGGTGACGTGGTTAACTACTCTGCAGTGCAAACTAACATCTGTTTATTCTATAAATTTCAATTGGTTCTATCATATGGAGTAACATCTTTAGTATCTTGTGCCATTCAACTAGTATTTTAAGAAACTACTGAAGAATAGATCCGTCTATGCGTATCTGCACTAGTTAATGGGTCATGTTTGTATCAATGCAGCCAGAAAAAGCTAGTGTTACCCTTACACATATGCGAGGGCCAGTTTCATTGACCTTGAACCTGAGGTACATGAAGTCCCGCGCCAAGGTGTCTACCCTGTTTGATCAAGTGAAGATCGGTCTCTCCACCAAGCTACCTTTGATGGTCGAGTGCAAAATTGCAGAGAAGGGCTACATCAGGTATTTCGTGGCACCACTAGAGGAAGAGGAAGGGAAAACAGAGACCGAAGAGGCGGAGGGGGAGGAAGGGAGGCAAAGGAAGAAAGCAAAAAAAATGATGAAACAGGAGATGAGATGCTGGGCTGATGAATAAGCAGGGATCCGTTGCCTACTATTGTGTGCAAGCAAAATCGAGTTCTTGTGTTCAATTAGCATTGAAGTATGTGTAGTAAGAATCTGCTCGTGACAACATCTCTACTTTTAAGTGTCTTCCGTATTTTGAACAAACGATGATGTCTGTACTAAGGTGCAATGTATGAACTTATGAATGGAGCAATCTCATTTGCGAACCGTTCCGAGCATGCCTCATTTATGATGAGATCTATTGAAACGAACCAAGGTATTTCTATTATTTTTAATATAAGAAAACGCAACAGGAAAGACGATAGAAACCTTGTCTTCTGGTCCCATGCTTCTGGTGGGGAAAAAAGGAGGCAAAAAAGAAAGAACAACGATCTAAAGTGCTCCTGTACCTTTGGCCTAATCCCCAATCCAAAAATCTGTAACGAACACCTCAATAGCTGTTACAACCTACCCCTATCCATGAACTTGACCCCATCATACAAAACGAGTATGGAAGCCGCACCCGTGCTCCTACACAAGTTAGACAGCGCGTTGCTACCCCTATCCATGAACTTGACCCCATCATACAAAACGAGTATGGCAGCTGCACCCGTGCTCCTACACAAGTTAGACAGCGCGCAACGGTAGAAAGACCTGACCCCCCCTCCGTCCTGTATATCTTCCTTGAGCAATCGAGGGTGCTACAGTAAACAATCGAGGGCGCCACGGTAGAATCTAACGAGCCTAATCATGTCATGATTAGACAATGTTGTGCTACAGTAAACAATCTTTAATGACGGATTAATTAGGCTTAATGGATTCGTCTCGCGATTTCCCTTTCATTTGTGTAATTAGTTTTGTAATCTTTACTCCTAATGTCTCAGTTGGTAGTCTCCACTGGTCAATTTTCGTTCCACCAGAGACGGCTTTTTTCGTCCTCGATCCCACCTCCCACATCTCATCGATTCCCCCGTGGACCCTTGAAAAGCACGTTCGCGGCGCCCTCCTGATGCGTCCAGGTAGTTCCCTCGCACGAACTACGCCAGAAAAATGGATGGAAAAAAATCTACGAAATTAAACCAGCGGAAAAAGTTCCAGGGCGAGCGAGCGAGGCGTCTAGAGAGCCCTCGAGAGAGAACCCCGCCAGAGGACATTCCTTCCCCACCGCCATCGCGCTATCTCCGTACAAAGCAGCCCTCAGATCCCTATCTCCGTTCGCTGCCGCCGCCGATCCCGCCTCCACCGATCCCCTTGCCACCACGCTCGCGATCCAGAGTGTTCCGTTTCCCCTCTGGCCCTTCCGCGTGTCTCCCCTATCTCCGTACCGATGGCTGCGTATTTGCCGCCTCCTCCTTCCCCCGTCCATGGTGACGGCGCCCGCGTCACACATAGACCCTCCCCCATCCTGTATGTTGGTCGTTGATGGGGTGAGAGGCGCGACCACAATCCAGTTGGGATCTCGGTGTGGACTCGTTCGTTGTGATGGAGGACGGCGCTGCCTCCCTGGTGAATGGGATCAAAGGGAGGGACGTGAAAGTCGACGAGGCAGCGGCTGGGAGCCCGACGGTGAACACTGGAGTTCATCCGGGGGCGATCTGAGGCCACCTCAACCGCCGGTGGAGGAGGCTTCCCAGTTGTAATCTCTACTCCTAATGTCTCAGTTGGTAGTCTCCGCTGGTCAATTTTCATCCCACTAGAGACATGTTTTTTTCGTCCTTGATCCCACCTCCCACATCTCACCGATTCCCCCTGGACCCTCGAAAATCACGTTCGCGGCGCCCTCCTGATGCATCCAGGTAGTTCCCTCGCACGAACTACGCCAGAAAAACGAATGGAAAAAAATCTACGAAATTAAACCAGCGAAAAAAGTTCCAGGGCGAGCGAGCGAGGCGTCCAGGGAGCCCTCGAGCGAGAACCCCGCCAGCGGACATTCCTTCCCCACCACCATCGCGCTATCTCCGTATAGAGCAGCCCTCAGATCCCTATCTTCGTTCGCTGCCGCCGCCGCCGATCCCTTCGCCGCCGATCCCGCCTCCATCGATCCCCTTGCCACCACGCTCGCGATCCAGAGTGTTCTGTTTCCCCTCTGGCCCTTCCGTGTGTCTCCCTATCTCCGTACCGATGGTGATAGGGGATCACCTTGACGCAAACCCCGTTGAGGCCTGAATTGTTCTGAATACTCTCCATTTATCTTCACTCTATAGCTGACTGTGGAAGCACATTTCATGATTAAATCAACCCATGCTGCAGCGAATCCCAATTTTCGATAATTTTCTCAAGAAAAGGCCATTCTACTCTGTCATATGCTTTACTCATGTCTAATTTTATAGCAGCCAGCCCTATATTACCTTTCCTTTTGCTCTAAGGTAGTGCGAGCCAGGAGGACATTATCAGTTATCAGCCTACCCGGAACAAAAGCATGGTAAGGGCAATAGATGTGAACTTATAGTCCGCTGAGGTGCCAGCGTCTTTCAATATGCTCCAGTACAGATCCTACAAGAATAATGGCGAGTCTTTCAATATGCTCCAGTACAGATCCTGCAAGAATAATGGCGAGAGATTAGAGAGAACCTTCTTAAAAAAAGATTAGAGAGAACCATTCGCAAGTATACTTCATCCATCCCACAAGTAGATTCGTTTTGAACATCGACATGGTCTTCGAGATGCAACTTTGACTACTTTGTTTTGTTGTAGACTATTTTTAAAACATAGTTAAAATATACTTTTGTGAAACAATGTTTCGAGACAAATCTATTCATACTATTCACATCTCAAAATGCAGCACATTAAAATTTATTTATAGTCAAAGTTTGAAATAGTCGACTTTATAGGATAAGCCCAAAACTAACTTATTTGTAGCATGGAGGTAGTAGTATTTGCCTACTGTGCAAACAGTCACTCCAACCATTTCAATGAGATTTGTTGAAAAAATGGTTGGTCCTTGGACTTCACCTTTGGATAGTTTTCGTCGAGCAGATCAAGGTTCATATATGGAACATCTGATTCGGACTTCAGATGAGAGAGATATGGTTACGAGAAGATCTACACGTCGGGTACACCGGTAAGACCGGTGGGTCCAGGCGGTCAGACCGGTTTAGGTCTATAGAATCCGTGTAGAAGTTGTATTTTAATATGGAATTTGCTAGGGTTTCAACCCAAGTCAGAGCAAGATCTCTCCACTTTATAAATATAAAGGACCACGGCCGATTGAGGGTATCACAATCGAATCTATCAAATCTACCTTTTATTGTTTCACCTTTACCCTTCTCTTACAACCTCACGTGTTGTTCTTCTACTGCCTCCATAGCATGAGAGGACGTCATGTCGGGGTTCTATACCGTCGGCAAGTAAATTTAGTACGATCGTGTGTCGGATCCGGACGGCTGGCACAAGAGACACAAGGATTTATACTAGTTCGGGCGCCACGGGGCTCCCTACGTCCAGTTCTGGTGGTGTTCTTTATGCCCGGATGGGAAAAAACTTGTAGTACAAGCGGCTCGCGAGAGAGGGACCTGATACCAAGTCTCTCTGTGTGTGTGGTGTTGCGGTTCAGTACTTGGTACTGCGTGTTCGTGTGAGCGAGCGAGCCTGACCGGGTGTCCTGGCTTGTCCGGCTCGGTTGTATGTTGGGTTCTTTTGTTTTTTGCCCGTTCTTTTCGTGGATTCCTCCCCTTCCTTTTATAGTTCAAGGAAGGCAAGGTTACAAGGGTAGTTAGGTAAAAATGTCGTGCTACAGTGTTGCGACAGTGCCGGAACAATGCTGCTCTGCAGTCCTTCGTCCTGGATTGGGGGCGTACAGCGTCCCGTCGTGGTAGATGTACCGTAGGACGGTGTAGGCTGTAGGCTCTCGCATCGGGGCGATCGAGCTCGAGCTACCGGCGATGTTCGTTTGATAGGTCGAGGAATCCCTGGGTGAGCTCCTGACTTAGGGCATCTCCAGCCGCGCCCCAACAGGGCCTCCCCAGGCGATTTTGCCGCGTCGGCGCCAAAAAAAGGCCCCAGTCGCGGCCCCAGAAGGCCGTTTTTCGCCGGCTCGGGCCAAAACTGGTGCCGGCGGATCCAGGCCGAACCCGGCGCCCTGGGGGCGCTTGGGGAGCCGGCGCAAGCGAAAAAGGCGCGTGGGCCCGCCCTGGAGGCGACCCGAGGGCCTTTTCCCGCCGTTTGTTGACGCTTTTCCCTCGCATCTCTCCCGCTCGCTCGCCTTCCTCCCGCCATTCTCCCCCTTTCTCCCGCCAAACCCCCTCCCGCTCGCCTTCCAGTCGCCGCCATGCCGCCGAAGAAGTACACCATGCCGCGCGCGGCAGCAAGCGCGACTGATGCCGTGGTCCAGCCAAAGCAGAGGAAGCCGAGGGCGCCGCCATCGAAGCCGCCGGGCCTGTCGAACGCCGAGTGGAGGGTGGAAGTTCAGCGGTGCGAAGCAGTCACCGCCGACAGGCGGAACAGGGCCATCGCCAAGAAGGCCCGCGACAATGCGGCGCGCTTGGCGGCGTCTTCCTCATCGGTCGACCAGGCGGGGATGAATCCACCCGTCGTCAGCCACGCCCAGTACGCGCCCTGGGGACAGCAAGGCACCGGATCTCCATGGGGTTCATCGTCGGCCGGCTACGCCGACGGCGACGCGCACGGTGGGTTCAACCCGAACGTGACCTTCCCTCATGGTCACCCCGCTACGTGCATGCCCTCGCCCGCCTTCGTCGGCGTGCAGTACCCTCCATACAACTACTCGCCGCCCGCCTCCTACGCGTCCACGCCGATGCCCCATCTCTACCGTGGACCTCTGCCCTTCTCGCACCTCGGCGACGCCGACGACACGGGAGCCGACATGGACGACATCATCGCGACAGGATCGACCGCGGCCGCCGCCGCTCCCGGGTTCGCCACCCAGGACGAGGTAGTGGATCTCAGCGGCGACATGGAGGCCGAGCTCGGCTAGGCGAGGACGCGGAGGAACCCGAGGAGGAGGAGGAGGAGGAGGAGGAGGAGGATGAGCCGGCTCCTGTTCCGACGAAGGGGTGCCAGAAGAAGAAGAAG